GGGGCGAAGGGGGTTTTCCCCTTCCCCCCAAACCCCAACCCAAAAATTGGGGTTGTTAAAAAAAAAAAAAAAAAAAAAAAGGTTTTCCCCCCCCCCCCAGGTGGGAAAAAGCCTTAAAAACCAACCAACCAACCAACCAAAAAAAAAAAAAAAAAAAACCATTTTCTTTTGTTCCCTCGTAAGAAAAAAAAAAAAAAAAAAGGAATAATAATAATAATAATAACCACAACAAGAAGTTTCTTACGACTGAAAAATAAAAACAATAATAATAACAAAACAGGATGTAAGCGGCATTTATTTATTTTTATTTTTATTTTTGGGTTTTTGTTATTATTATTATTAATATTATATATATATACTATCTTAACCTTTCCCCTTGGCGTGGAATTTCGAATCTGCACTTGGGACACCGATTACTTTCTTTGAACCATTTAACAAGACAACCGTGATGAAATACGTGCCCACAGCCAATCTTAAGAACCAACGTTCCAGAGGAAAATTCATCTAGGCATATTGCACATTCTTCCCGATGCTCCCCGGACGCATTTCCTGACCCTTTCACAGTTTCTTTTTTTGATTTGAGATTGCTGTAGGGAACACCTTTCATCCCACGAATCTGTTGCAACGGAAGACCAGTGGGTTTTCTTCCTTCGTCAAGCCGAAGCAAGTTCTCAAATGAAAAATCATTGATCTCCCAATCACCGTCATTACCCCTGCGTGTCCCTCCGGTTGTGTTTGCTGCGGCGTCAATGCCTAATGACGCCCTCCTGCGTCCTGTGATAATGTCATATTCAGCACCGCTTCTGTTTCTATGGGAATGCTGACCGGGCCGCATCACCCCCCTCTCCACACGAGCACTAAACTGAGGTGCTGCATTTGATGATGTTTGCATGGACACCTCAATGCGAGTGTAACTGGGGTCTTCAGTATGACCTCTGGGCCCATCTGTTGAAATTATCTGTATATTCCTGTGTTCAAATGCAGCAGCTGCATCTAATGCAGCCTGAAAAGGTTCTCGATGCATCTCCATCATCTCATCAACCATCGATAGCATACCGGCAATATGAGAATCCATCATAGAACTTGCCAATCGAGCAAAAGAGGAATGTACCTCACCTATACTTGGAGCCTGTCGCCGCAGTTCTTCTGATCGTGGTTGAGAGACAAGTTGCCCCGAAACTTGTCGTGAAGTCCCAGGCACTAACTGCTGATTGTGGTGCGAGAAAGTCTGACTCAGTTGTGCTCTACCCCGTTGCGGTCGAACGGTCCCCACTTGCAAGTTTGTCACGCCACGTCGACTAATGCTGCCCTGAGCCCCT